AGTCACTTAACATCAGGTGAATCGTATGCTCGCTTGCCCCCTCTTCCATATAAAAAAAGCGTATTGTGAAATTCACAGTGTCCAGTGCCAGTGTCCGGCGCGGCGTTACTATGGCTCACTATTATTATATTAACTAATTACTAATACTAATGAAAAAAACATTAAAGCGAATAAATTCCTATGTGTTCGAACAGAAATATTTTCAAATGCCTCTACTGATGACCTTGGTGTCTAACTGCTGCTGTGTGTAGGTATTTAATAAAATTATATAACTAGGTATATAGAGGAATAAATTTGAATTAATTTCTATTTTATTCTCGCTTAAACACGTTTGAGGTGTTTCTTGTTTGCAAATTTAGTAAAAGTTTCTCAACGACCTTAATGATGTTAGCAAGTTTGTTGGTCTATGAACACCTACTTATGTATTTTATAAATTTTACAGTATGCTTATCTTAAACGAGCTATGTTTAAGTAGTTATTGGTAGGAATCGTAAGCAAAGTCTCTTGGAAATCCGCCTAAATAGAAGAATAAATATTTGCCGCCGTCAATAACGTTGAATTAAAAGTAGACAGACTACTGCGAAATCGGATTTTGTCATATGCATGCATAATTAATTCTATGTATAATGTACCATGCGGTGTGGTGGCTACGTTAGAGAATCCGTCACCTCGTTTTGTCCAGTGGGTGTCGAGCGACTATACGATATGACAAAAAGAACCCATGGCTTCCGATAGTGGGCAGTATTACCATGTTGTTTACACCAAACAATAAACAAGACCAGCGACGGGAAGCATCCTAATAGATCTGCCAAGCGGTGCAGTTGAGGAAAATCTTTCTTGTAGCGTGACAGTGGAATATTTGGGGCTGGTTTTTTTATAGGATAGGGTGACAAACGAGCACACATTCCACCTGATGGTAAGTGGTTGCTGTGGCCCATAGATATCTACATCTATCGTCGATTACAAATCAAAATGCAGATGCGTTGTCACCCGTGGGGACTAAGATGGAATGCCTCGTTTCCAGTAAAAAGGGTCTCCGATTGTCTACACTCACCATACGAAACACAGCAGCTTTAAGCTACTATTTTACGCTGGTATTCTGTGAGGTCATGGTCCTTCCCCGGTCGATCCGACCCATTCGTGCTACAATGATACTACTAATATAACTGCAGCACGGCTCTGCCACGTATAAAAAATAAGATGTGTAATCAATTCTGTATAATTATTGTTACATTTTACATATCGATTTACTATTTTGCTCCCATTAGATGTCTACTGCTGAACATAGGCCTCCAAGGAATTCCACAAAGCACGGCCGGAGCTATCTGCATCCTTCGACTTCCCGCAGCTCCTACCAGGTTTTAACTCTATCTAGTGATGGGTCGCCCTATACTTAGCTTACCAGTACGAGGTTGCCACTCGAGAACCTTTCTTCCCCATTTGTTGTTGGTTCTTCGAGCTATATGACCGGCCCATTGCTACTTCAGCTTACTGATACGTTGCGCTGTCGTGACATAAAATGACAATTTCAAATTTAATGAAGTCAGTTGTAATTAAAATAACTTTATTTTTGTTTACTCACAAACATCTAATGTTTAGAGTAAATCCTAATTTGACTCTTAAACATTATTAAGTTTAGATATCCATAAAAAGAATTGTGCGGAAAATTTGAGATTAAATTTGATTAATAGTACAGGAAACCTGTTAGTTTATCGTCGATATGTTGTAAATAACAAGTTGTTGCGGCGACTTTCTGTGTTCCGTGTAGATGTAGTGACGATGTAAAGTTTTAAGGAAGCTTTTAGGCAGCGGGTGAGCAAGGGCGTCCTTGAAACGGAGCGCGGATCGATGAATGACGTCACACGGCGCGTGACGTCACGGGCGGCGTTCGATGCGAAGCCGAGGTCGCAGGCCCGACGTTGTTGCCGGCTGTTTCACTACACCCCCTTATTGCCGTTATTTCTCACCACCCGCATATTTTTAGACCTCGTGACGTAATTCTGCCTTGGAAAGCTATAGAGCAAGTGCAAAATGAATGGCTAAAAATGAGCGAATTAATTTGTCAGTTACTTTGTCATGAAATTAAATATTTTCTTTTACAGCACGGCTATTAAAGCTCATGGGTAAGTTTATCTGATTATGTAAAAATGATGATATAAAATAGTTGACTCTACCTATTTTATATCATCATTTGTTGTTATGTAACGTAATTTACAAATATGAAAGGAGTTTAATTTTAAAATATTCCTTTTGTTCTATCTGAGTACGCGTGCTTATTAAAGTGTGTGTATATTTTTATTAAGTTGTAGATAGTTACTTAAAAAAAAATAATTTATAAATGACAATTTTGATAATGTTTAATAAATTTAATACCCACTAAAACGTTTCGTCAGGCCTATTTCATGTTTCTACATTAAGAAAATCTTTCATGTCACTAAAGATCGGGTTAAAAAAATTAATAAGTTAGTTTATTAATTGATTTCACTAATTGCAAACTTATTAGACGAATTCAAAAAAGGAGGATATTCTTAATTCGAGTGTATGTTCTATTTTCTGTATGTATGTTATTCGATTTCTTCGTCAATTGTATAGTGATTTTAAGATGATGTCTCATTTAAATTTGGGGCAAAAATTCACTTTTAAGTTTGGAAAACGGGGGATGAAGTTTTTCATGCAACAATTTCAACGATATTCTAGCTTTTTATATTCCTTAGTTCACTAGTTCAAAAAGCTGTAATGCGGAAAGTATTTTATTCTTTTTAGTTTCTTTGGAGTTGACTTTTATTTTTTATTAAAAGTCAATTTTATATACAATAATTTCTTATTTAATAATTCGAAAGTTTGTGGTAACTGTATATAACAAAATGGATATTTAATATTGTGAAGTTTCTTAAGTCATAAATCATCTTTAATTTTTGATATCATTACGACCAAACTTGATAGCACGAGCCACGAGTGATAATATTATTATACATTAGCTTATAGTTTGGTTCAGCGCGGCGACTCTCCCACAGGGAGTGTGAGTGTGACGCAGTCAGTCATTGCAGGTTTGCATTATGTGATATGACGTCACTCCAGCTGGTAGCTGATAGCTCTACCTTATCAATAATGGACGACGTAATTTATAAAGGCACTATTTTAGATTTTTTAAATGCATTAGATATTTAAGAAATATTCTAAAACTACCGAAATCATATGCATTTTTATATGATCTGTATCTTAATTTGCATTCTGACTTTATTTTGTACATAAATGAATTGATTAATTTAATTAGTATCAAATTTGTCGTTTTATTTTTATAGAACCACTCCAGTGACCTTTGGCAAATGCCCGGCGATTGGATATTTATTTCTCGTAATATGAAAAGTTGGCAAAAAGTGAAAGTTGTTATCTATTGTCTGTAATGTGGCGGTAAATCGCGATGCGTTTTATGCAGATAAAGATTGATCAGTTTTTCGGTTACATAGTTTAAAAAGGTTAAGCAATATCAGCAATCTTTTTCTCTCGCAGGAAATTTTGAATATATTTTTTGCTTTTCAACAAAAATACTTTAATTCCATGGCACTTACCTCCAACAAAAGTACATAAATATGATAATGTTGATTTCCTATGGTAAGTTAATAAGCTAAAATGGTTATGAACTAAAATTATGGATGATACAGTATAGTACATGGCGAGTGGTAATTTGCACAGGCTCGCATCTCGACAGGTGCAACGTCTGCCGGTTGCGACAACTGATTGGGCAAGTGGAAGGCAGTTCGGCTGAGGCCATCGTCTCCGGAGGCGATCGCGACATAAACATCCCATATTATAACGTAGTGTTACCTAACTCGCCCCGAGCGAAACAAAAACAGAATTAACTTAGCCATGCAGCGTCTATTTCGAAAATACTTAATTAAGGTATGTTTATTACAAAGCTCTTATATCGTTTCAACATCAAATGAACTAGGCAAGCGTTTTTATAAATTGGATCCGTGGTGAGTGAAAAACACAAGATACTTACGAAGATGCAAATAAAAGACGTTTTTTCATTTTCAGGGCCCATCTTAGCTCGTAAGGCTCGTAATTATGTATTATTTAAATAATTAAAAATATTTGACCCCACTTATTTACGTATATAATATATGTATGTAATAAATCCGTCGAATTCAAGAGAAAATCAGCTTTTTTATTTTTAGTTCGTTTTGAGAATTAAGTTTTACAAAATAAAGCTTACTTATCTGATTTCAATATAAGAAACTGTAGGTAATTTTATTGGTAAAGAAAAAATAAAAATAATTTAAAGGTGGAAGTAATATATGAACGGCATCAGGCGGCATGTATCATCTTAACCGGTCCTTATCGAAATAAGTTGCACTACTGAGTTTTTATCCCTCAACCATATTTGCGCTTAGTTATTTGCAGTCGATAACAGTATAAGTTATTATGTGAAATCGAAACTTTTTGCTTACGGTTCTGAATGCACATTTAGCGCTTTTCGGTGGTGTAAATTAATAATACGGATGTTTATTTACACTATACGTGCCGGCCCATATGTGACTTTTTTTTAAAATTTCACTTTCTGAGTAATTAGAGATAGAGACACGTTATCGATATGCATAAATATATTTTCTAGATGTTCTTATAATTCCTTGCAGTAAAAGTGACAGTGACGTTTATAAAAAAAATGAGGTTAAAAATAATGGAATCGATTAAGTATTGAATTTATTTTATAATTGTAATCTGATATTTTTCAAGTTTTAAAATTTTAACATATTTTTAATGTATGTAATTATTAAAGATTTAAGTGTAGTTATGAACACATTACGAACTTGATAACTTAGCGAATAATCTTGAGCAGTGAGTTAAATGATTATAGTTTTGCTTAATGGATAATATGAGAGGATAACTGAAAAGTTAACGAGGGTCGTAAATTTTCAAAAAAAAATCCTGACATAAAATAAACAACACTTAAAATAAAATTTAAAAAAAAATAAAAAAACGAAAAAGGGTTTACATACGTTTGTGTAGAAATTGTTTTAAGCCGCAGTGTTTTCTGGAGGGCGTCAGCAACGCACCTCGCATTCTAGCCGATGGCCATCGTCACGATAGTTTCACACAGAGTCTACAACATCCAGAGGTTCTACACAATGAAAGCGAAAATAAACACAGAAGTAGAGGGTCGCGAATCGTCGTGCGGGCGCTGACCTGGCGCAGGCTTGTCGGGGTCCAGAGAAGCGGCGCACGGCTCCAGGGTCAGGTCGAGGCACCCGCCAGACAGTCCCAGTTCGCTCAGCAGGATCCTCATGCGGCTGAGCACATTCCACTCACTGTACGCGCACTCACTCACTCAGTCAGATGTGGTAGTTCGCGGGAAAGCGTGCGGAAGTACGCACTAGTGAACGGTTGGTGCGATACTGAGGCCGCCGCCGTCGAGACGGGCGGCTATATCGCTCCGTCTGACGTCACGACCACGACGTCACACTGACGACGTCACTAACGGTACCTCCCACGGCCCGCCCGCCGCCTCGCCGCCCGCCCGAGCCTACACTAACGGCATCGCTAGTACGCGGAGCTTTCATACGCCCGCGTTGTCTGCGCTGCCCGCTGCTGGTTAACCCGTCTTAACTTTTTGATTACTTTTCTTTATGTAAGAAACTTGGTCGCGGGTGACCAGATAAAATTGCATTTAGAACTGATATTTGTTATTACTAAGTCCGATGAAAAGCTTAAAGAAAAATTTTATGCCAAAGAGGATGGAGAAAAATCAAAAGTAAATACTAGGTACACTTCATGAATATACTATTTTTAGGAAATAGGGGAATTTATTTATTCAAAGTAATTAATATTTAACAAAAACAAATACTTGTAGTCTCGTCATCGACAAAAATTTAATGGTGGCTGTTTTAAGCAACTCTAAATAGCTTATTTGCTTATATAAAGCAGATAGTACAGATTCTAAACTCAGTCACGAATGGCGTAACCTATTCCTAATGAGAGATGCAGAAATTTGATAAGACACTACAGATTTCAGCAATATATCCGACCTTTTTTTTACAAATTAGGTTTGATTTGCGAATTGTTCGTTCTAGCAGTTTGAAATTTGGCGCATACGAAGAGTGAAAAGGAATGATCACCGTACCGTTTTTAAGAGTTGGTAGAGTACAAGTGGCAGTAATTATTAAATATTTGTACTGGAATTACGCAGCTTTTAAATTTCTCGTCAAAAGTTCAAAATACTTTTGTGGTAATTAGGTGTTATTACATATAATTGATGTTGATACTAAATACGTAAACTGAACAATGCTAATGGAATTGTTTTCATACACAGACACTTTTTTATACTAAAACAATAAAAAATACATATAAACATGTCTTAAAACACTCATAGTTTTATGATTTCTTGTAGGTCTGCAGTATAGTATCGGTGTATTATAATCATCATTGCTTGTATCTATTTACAATATGTTTAGGTAAACAATTTAATTTATATACTTCTGTTTTAACCTAGTAGCGTTGTACACATTTATAGAGTCCGATATTTTAATTTCTAATGTAACCAATAGATTTTTTTAAATTCTACGATTATAGGTTATGGAGTTGAAAATTTTTGACCCATGTTTTATGTGGTAAAAACACGTGGCTTCAACACAAATGGTAAAGCAGCTTGTCCGTATGGTGAGTGACGAAACGTTAGAATCTTTTAAATTATATGTAGCATTCCATCTCTGTTGTTCAGGGAGTCAGGCATTTTGATACATACAAGTAGGTCTAGCGTGCACAGCATCCATTTGCCATCGGGTGGACTGTGTATTCGTCATATATATATATATATATATATATATATATATATATATATATATATATATATATATATATATATATATATTTCCATTTTTTAATTCCCAGAGGTACGATGACGCAGCTTGCTAAATCATGCTCATGTAATATTCAAAGTTCTTTCACTAATAGTGAAATTCCCATTTCCATTTTGACAAAAAAAATTAATAAATCAATTACGTCTCAACTAAAAGAGACTTCTTTTCAAAATTAAGATTACCCAATTAATACTCATTCCTCTCGATTCTCGACCTATTAACTATTTTTTCCAATAATTTATTTAGTTCTAACAAAGACAACTTAATTAAAATTTTCAATCATTTTTCTCTAGAAATCACAATCAAAACTGTCAGTGCGAAATCGCTATACCTGCTAGGTGCCCCGTTGTTTTTCGACAGTATTTAACCTGTTTTAAGAACAGATTTTGATCAATATAAACCATGTTGATAAATTGTATACTTATCTTAAACCCTCACATTGCACTTTAAATTTAATATATTCGGATTTATGAATTTTTAACGGTTTGAAAAATCCCAAATTCGGATACTTTGACCCATTAAAATCACACAAAGAAAAATATAAGAAATGTATATTTTTTAATTTTTTGATGAAATATATATAAAAAAGGTCCTACGAATTTTTACAATCACGTCAATATTTTTTGAGTTACGAATTTTTAAAGATTTTAAAAATCCCATACTCGGATTCATTTGACTCATTAAAAAAATATAAAGATAAAATAATTGGTTCCGGCAAAAATGTTCCAGTGGAAGTTAACCAACAAAAACAGTGAGATATTGCGTTGGTACGGATTGTGCAGCAAGATTTGTTTCATAATTTCCATAGTGACCAAGATCGGGCTCGCCTTCTAGCTATTTCGACTAAGGAATCTAGTCACTGGTTACACGCTATATCATCAAGTAATCTTAGCACATTTCTTGATGCGGAAAACTTGCGAATCGCCGTAAGTGTCCGACTGGCAGCGGCGATTAGGAGAGATAACCTATACCTAATAACCTTAGTGTTGGATACTACTTGCGTAGACATTTTGGTTGAATCTCATCTCAGGGGTACTCAACGTAACCTAACGTAAGAGGAAGAGTCTCTGAGAGACATATTTGTGCCATTTGCGTTGCTAATGCCCCACGAACCTGAGAAACGGTATCGGTCCGTGGGGTCCACATGCAGTGAAGTTCCTAAAGGAATTCTATCCGCGTCTGGTCGTCTCTGCTGGTGATAAGAGGGTTGGTTCTTTTCTCGCTCAAAGGCTAAGTATAGTCATTCCACGAGGAAACGCAGCCAGCGATTTTGGCACGATACCACGGGAGTAAAATATTATGATAATTTAAGTTACCTATTAGTTTCAGTTTTTTTTTTATTATAGCTTTTTATTATTGTATATTTTTCAATGTTATGTTTTTAAAAAAGGTCAAGAACAAAGGTAATTAATTAATCAATTATTACTTTCCTCATTTGTTAAATGAATAAATAAGTATTAATTTTATGGCATCTGTTTACCTAAACGTTTCAAAATGACATCACAATATTATTATGTTGATTGTAAATATTTGTTTATCTATCGTGTTTGTTTCACTAACCCTAACTCCTTGGTTTTAAAATGTATTATTTTTTAAATAAATTTTAATAACGAATAAATTGTTATTTGCAAATTTTATTTATTAGGTAAAGTATAGGATATAATATTGTTAAGGCAATTTTAAGTGATGATTTACTAATTTAAGGAAAATATCGCAAGGGAACCCGTATGGATGAAAAATAAAATATTTAGAGCACGCATTGGAGCAGCGACGCGGACTAACTGTGCTCTATTAAAAGAATTATAGAGCAGGTGCCTGTTCCCAGCCGTGGGACGTAAGTAAATATACATGAAAATAAAATATTTAGAGGATATGTGAAGTCCAAAACACACATTAGAGCAGCGACGCGGACTAACTGTGCTCTATTGAAAGAATTATAGAGCAGTTGCCTGTTCCTGTGTGTGACGAAAAAATGTTATAATTTTTGGCGGATCTAGTAAATTTAAAGTTGTTATTACCTATATTTCAAATAACGTTTATGATGGACCAACACCTAAGCGTAAGCTGAGGGCCTTCATTAATAAAAATAACCCACTAAGAATATGTATTTTTATTCTTTAAAAAATAAAGAAGATTCTTATGCGCTTAACTAATGACATAGCTAGGTGTAATTATTAGGTTTGGATCGAGGATCGGAGACAAATGCAGCGGTGACGTGGCGTCGCAGCGTCCATCCCGTCGCATCCCGTGCTCCCATTTGGAGCAGACCGACGCACGCTTCCGCATTGTGCGTGCGCGTCGTCACACGCGGATATCTTTAGGGCTGCATCTCTATTCTGCTTGCATATGTAACAGTGTGACAGAATTTAGTTCACTAAAATGCGCTGTTTTGCTTGAGAAAGGGAAGTAGATGTACAGACTTATTTATAAAACAGTAAAAATTTCAGCGTTTACGATTTTTGTACCAAATGTATTTAGGGAAATTCTGCAAAAGCTTAATTCTAATAAAATTTGTTACAATTTTAAAAAATTTCGACGTCGCTCGACCGTCCTTCTCATTCGCCTCCTCCTTCGTTGCAAGACATTAGAACTTTATAAGTGAAATAGAATATAAAATTAATTTTTCACTTAATTTCTTTTCCTTCACATTTAGGAAGAGTTTGTCATAAACGCTAAATTTGGCAGGCGTATTTAAGCTAGCATAACCACATGTCTACTAATTTCATTGCTTCCTGTCCTAATCTAAGCTGTGGTGATTAGAATTATCTATTTAATATTAAAGCACGAATGGGTCGGCTCGACCAGGGAAGGACCACGCTCTCACAGAATACCATTGTCAAATAGCAGCTTAATGCTGCTGTGTTTCGTATGGTGAGTGTTGAGAACCGGAAACCCTTTTTACTGGAAAAGAGGCATTCTATCTTAGTCCTCAAGGCTGACAACGCATCTTCATTTTGATTCGCAAACGAGGATGGATGTAGATGTCTATGGGCCACAGCAACCACTTACCATCAGGTGGACTGTGTGCTCGCTTGTCACCCTTTTCCTATAAAAAAATTAATATTAAATATCAAATAGCGTAAAATAAATCAGTTGCTTATTTATTTTTTAATTTACATTATAACATTATCCTTAAAAGTGATACAAGAAATAAGTAGGTAAAGAGTGAAAGTGACAACCTATATAATTCCCACTGATGGACTCAAG